TTTAAATATCCTTCTTGTGGAATTTTAGACACGGTTGTCATAAAACACATCCCAATAGAGATGAGATAAAAGAAAAGTCAATGCCACAAACAAAAAGGTGTGAAAGGGTCCTTAGTCATTTCAATAACTACAAATAATAGTTTCAGGTCTGGAGGGCACTTACTGAAGCTTGACAAGGCGGCACGCACCAATGTCCTGCTATAACTTTATTGAACCTAGATATGGCAATCACGTTACGCTTTTTAGTTGTACTTGTACTATCTCTACTAAGGTCAAATGCCCTCTTTACTGCTGTAGCGGCAGTAAGTGCTTGTTGGAGCTCTCATCATATAAACTGAAACTTCTATTTTATTGAGAAAGAAAACATAAACTACAGTATATAGTGTACTGTATATGCAAGAACTTAGCAAACTCATTTATACATGGCAGGACCATACCTGCTTCTGCTATGAAGATATTGAATTATTTGCCTCAAACTATTACATTAATATGACCCTATTGCCACCATTTTTTTTTTCAATTTTCTTGTTACATTCTGCTGGCAGAGGTCAGGAACAATTGTATGAGGCTTTCCAATCACTGCCAGGAACATGGACATTGAGGTCAGAAAGGGAGTGCAGAAAACCTTCAACATTTACACCTATGTAGGACATGGTTAAAAATAATGTTTGAGGATGAATTACTTTAGTGCCTGCAACTAAACAGGTCAGTGAGGAATTGTCTTAAAGTTCTAATCATTAAGAATAAGGAAATACTTTCATGTTTACAGTCTGGACCAGGGGTGGACTGACAACTCATGGGGCCCCTGGGCAATAGGAGATCATGGGGCCCGTGTCCTTGCCCAAACTCAAAAAAGCCTATTGAAAAGGTACCAGGGGCATCTCATGGGGCCCCCTACTGACCCCAGGCCCTCGGACAGTGCCCGTGTTTCCAAATGGTCAGTCTACCTCTGGTCTTGACACAAGAACATTTTAACCCCTTCACGCCAGCGCCTCCTGGCCCTTTAAGGGTTCCAGAAGCCGGGAGGCGGGGCGGGGTTTAGGGTCATGTGACCGCCATGACGCACCATCATGGCAGTCACATGATCGGGAAAGGTCCCGATCGAAAGAGGAGATCGGGACCTTTCCGTGAGTACTGGACATGTGTGCTGGGAGAGCACAGGGCGTGTGCTCTCGGCACACGTCCTTGTTTAATAGAACTCAAATGTGCGGCTGCTCGGCGTCTAGGCCCAGTCGCTGGGAGGCCGCATATATGTGTGCAGCCGGCGTGAAGAGGTTAAAGCAGAACTACACTGCATCTGAGCACCACAAACCAAAAGCACTATTTAAATAATTTTTTATATTTAAAACAAAAAAACATCCATCCATGTCTCCATACTTTATTTTGCTGAGAAATCACTTAGAAAAAAACACCCTCTAGCATTTCTGGCAGTGGCCATCTTGAGTAAGGGCAGATGATTCATGTAGCATTTACTTCCTGGAATCCATCTTCCCTTATCTCAGGAATGCAGACAGGAGGGAGTGCTTAGCTGAGAAATCACATCCTTCGTTCCTGAAAACTCCTGGCATGTATGACATAATTTGCCTAGACCTAGAAACTTGGAAGTAACTGAAGAAATGTAAAAAACTGTTTAAAACAAGTAAATATGATATACTTTCCTATCTATTTACTAATGCTAGCAGCATAAGGATTCAAATTAGTCAATGCTGATTGAGATAGTGAAATGCCACTTTAAGCTCATTATAGCAGCTCAAGTTCAAAGAACATTTACATAAATACCATCCAATAGTTACCTTTTCATATTTAATTTTTAATTTTTTTTTTTAGGAATATTACATGTATTTAGGAAGCACTGCCAAAAAATATAACACTTTTGTTGGCTACTTTATCAGAGACGAATATGCACAACACCATGGTGTGCATTTATAAAACAAATTGCAAAGCTATGCAACTACATGCACTTTTGCACTGTGTGAAATGGGGGGGGGGGGGGGTTGAATGTTGTTTAGATTGAATTTTATTCATTTATAAGAAAAAGTGAATCAGGAAAATACCACACTATGGCCACTGGAAGGAGCTGATGCTAATAGGAAATACATATTTATTTACTAAGATCACCTCTATGTAATAGCCATAATACAATATTTTCCTGGTTCACTCTATTCTTGGTGAATAAATAACATTCAGATTGAGAGAAAATAGCCTTGTAACATTAGATTGTGCCCCTACTCACACACCATGAATGTACATGCAGTTTTGCAGGATGAGTAGTTCTGCAAATTTTTATAAATATGCCCCAAGTGTCCCTTTGTGCTGAGAAGACAATTATGCCCAAGGAACCTGCCTTCAGCTCTGTCTCTTTCTCCCAAATTTAAATAATTGTATTTATTTTAAACCTAGTAAATAAAAAATAGCATTACATAGCTTATAAATGTCATTTAGCTACACTGTGACTACCAATGCAAAGTGCAGTGATAGATACATGGACAGACTGTGTGTTAGTTTTAAAGGCATTTCAGTATAATTTCTCTTTCAATATATTTTTTTTCAGTATAATTTTTTACCAACAAAATTACACTTAAACAAAGCTGAAAGCATTATTAAAAGAAAGACAACCATTAATGTGTCACTTTTAAATTAGATAATCTAATATAGAAATATCTATCTGGGGAAATCTGCATTCATTTGCACTTTTCAAGAAAGCTAGCATAAATTCCATAAACTTATCAAGAAAAGTTATATACTGTATAAAAAATATGAGTTTGTTGTAAAATGTTTTATTAAAGGGCTAGTAAAAAAAACCCAAAAACTTCAAGACAGTTTATGTAACAATCCATTAATGGCATTAATGAAAACATATTTAAGCATTTGCAGAAGCATGCAGTAAATTGCAGATGGAAGGGCTATTTTTTTTATTTCACTCTTGCTCCACACCGGCAGATTAATGCCTCGTATGATTGGCTGTGATTGACTTGGCAAAAATGTTACCAAGTCTTACCAAGTATTACCAATCATCTTCTGTATCCAGTTTTCTCTTGCAGAGCACTCCTTTGTACCTAAAATGTATATCTTGACATTATCCAAATTCAAGCCCCAAATCTCTTTCTCGACCTCTAGACCTTTTATTACTCCCTGAGATATCCTCACCAGGCTTATATAAGTCTTAAAGGAGCAACTGCTTGGAGTTCAATTCCCATTGCTGTAGGAACACCCCTAGAACTACATTCCATAAGAGCCCCTTAGCTACACACAGTGAGGCTGATTTAGTTGAGAATCTTTACTCATTTATGTTGAGTCGTGTGAAAAGCACATTCCTGTTCATTTTAATAATGTGCAAGTGTTTTTCATATGTTTGAATAAATAAAGGCTGAGTTCACCTTTGGAACATGGTATATGCTCCACCTGCATTTAGGGTGGAAAATGTAACATGTTCCAGCCAGTGGTGTATTTTGGTTTTGTGCTGCCCTAGGCAAGCCTAAAATCCACCCCCCCACCCGCATCTAAATGTGCCCCACCCTTTCATCTGCAAACTCCACCCCTTCCTCTTTAGGCTCCACCTCTTCCTATTAGAGCTCCACCCACTAACAACGATGAGGCTCTATTCCTCCCACTGACACCAATGATGGGGCATGATTGCTCCCATTGACACCAATGACGGTGCACTATTCCTCCTACTGATCAATGATGGGGCACTATTCCTCCCACTGATACCAATGATGGGGCACTATTCCTCCCACTGATACCAATGATGGGGCGCTATTTCTCCCACTGACACCAATGACGGGGCACTATTCCTCCCACTGACACCAATGATGATGCCCCATCGTTAGTGTCAGTGTGTGAGGAATAGTGCTCCATCATTAGTGTCAGTGGGAGGAATAGCGCCCAATCATTGGTGTCAGTGGGAGGAATAGTACCCCGTCATTGGTGTCAGTGGGAGGAATAGTGCCCCTAAAAAGTGCCACTCTAGGCAAACGCCTTGTTTTCCTCACGGCAAATATGCCCCTGGTTCCAGCTCCTGCCTCTGTGACAGCGGGCAGGGGATCTTCTCCCCACACCCACTGTCACAATTTAAAAACAGTTCTGTTGTGTGGTCACAGTTCTGTGAATGAATGAACTACAAGAACAGTCAGCCATTGCAGCTGACAGCTTAAAGTTTTCAATGAACTATGGGGCACTGGTGAGCTCTCTCATAGTCCATTGATCCTTCCTGCCATTCAGTAACTATCTGCCCGTAAAGGAGGTAGGGGCACACAGTGTACTGAGAACCTACATTGCATGTTGGACCCCGATCTGCTGATCGTAGTTGCAATGCTTTACAGGCTCCAGTGTGAAAAAATAATAAATGCACAATTTTTACCTGAAAAAAAGATGTGCATTTATTATTTTTTTCATAAAAGGTGAATTTATACTTTAACCACTTGCCTACAGGGCACTTATACCCCCTTCCTGCCCAGGCCAATTTTCAGTTTCAGCGCTGTCACACTTTGAATGACAATTGTGTGGTCATGCAACACTATACCCATATGAAATTTTTATAATTTTTTTGAGACAGAGATTTCTTTTGGCGGTATTTAATCACCTCTGGGTTTTTATTTTTTCCTAAACAAACCAAAAACTACTGAAAATAAAAAGTTTTTTCTCATTTTTTGTTATAAAATTTTGTAAATAGGTGATTTTTTTCTCCTTCGCCGATGTGCGCTAATGAGGCTGCAGTGATAAGAAATTGATAGGCTGCACTGATGGGCACTGATAGGTGGCACTGATGGGCACTGATGAGGAGGCACTGGTAGGTGGCACTGATGGGTATTGACAGGCATCACTGATGGGCACTGAAAGGCAGCACTCATATATGGCACTGATAGGTGGCACTGATAGGCGGCACTGACTGGCACTGTTAGGTGGCACTGACTGACACTGTTAGGCATCACTGATAGGCAGCAATGATGCGCACTGATAGGTGGCACTGATAGGCATCACTGACTGGCACTGATAGGTGGCACTGATTGGCAGCACTGATAGGTGGAACTGACTGGCACTGATAGGTGACACTGAAAGGCAGCTCATATGGGCGCTGATATGTGGCATTGATGTGCACTGGTAGGCACTGATATGGGGCATTGATGTGGCACTGATGGGCACTGGCAGGTGGCATTGATGGGCACTGACAGCTGGTATTGATTGACACTGACAGGTGGCACTGCTGGGGCTACACTGATCATCAGGGCACACTGATCATCAGTGTCCTGATAATCAGTGTACATGTCCCCTCTGGGGGATGCCGGGATTACCTGCTCTCCACTCTTCATGAGCTGTCATTGTGACAGCTCATGAGGAGAGAAATGCCGATAACCGGAAGTTCCCTATTTACATGCGATCAGCTGTGATTGGATACAGCTTATCACATGACCGAGCCAACATCTTCGGCTCTTTCTGTTGATTGGTGATCCGCTGTGTCCGAGGGACACATCGCACCACCGTTCGCCGCTGTGCCCCTGGAGCTGCGCATGCGCGGTAAGAGTGGGAGGACGTCATATGATGTCCTCCCAGAACGAGAGAACCGCCTTGAGCCCATCATTAACCTATATGGCGGGTGGGAGGCAGTTAAAGTGAATGTTCACACAATTTTTGAGAGAGAATTTTCAGTTCCTTTGGTAAATCAGACTAAGTGTGTGGATGAGCTCTTAGGAGACACGCCAGCAGCATTATTTTGCTGGGAAAGAAGTTAAATTGATTGTAAAGGCTGAAGGTTTTTTTTTACCTTCATGCATTTTATGCATGAAGGTAAAAAACCTTTTGTGTACAGAAGACCCCCCACCCCATAATACTTACCTAAGCCCCATCACAATCCAACAATATTTACAAGATCCTCAGCTCTCGGGTCTCTCCCTCCTCATTGGCTGTGCCATTGGCTCCCGCTGCTGTCAATCACAGTCAGTGAACCAATGAGGAGAGAGGGGGGCAGGGTTGAATTAAGGCTCTGTGTGCGAGTGGATACACAGAGCAGCAGCTTGGGAGCGAGCCTGCTTGAGTTCCCCCATAGCAAGCTGCTTGCTCTTGGGGCACTAGGCAGGAGGGAGGGGACAGGAGTGCCAGCAGGGACCTGAAAAGAGGAGGATCGGGGCTGCTCTGTGCAAAACCACTTCTCAGAGCAGGTTAGTATAATGTGTTTGTTATTTTCTTTTTAATTGCCTTTACTATCACTTTAATGTATGCTTGAGGACTGAGGTAAAAAAAAAAGTGGGGGACAGGTAGAGTTATGTAGTCCAGCAGGTAGGACTGACAATGCTGGTTGGAATTTCTATGTACCAGAGGCATTGCGTTTGTCATTCCATACAGGGAATTAGGAGCACACTAGATTTTTCCCATATCTACATTTTTTCTACACTTCTGAAGCTTTTTAAAAAGATAAAATATGAGGAACTGTGCATGTATTGCAGAGATGTATGGAATAAGGTGTACTTTTTTAATTTTAAATTCAAATTTAAATTTTTCCCTGATATGTGCTTTAAAAAAACTGACATATATGTGTAGCTCATGTCACAAACCAATACGGTTGTGTGCTGAGCTGTTCTTGTTCCCAGTTGATTCTCTGACCAAAGGTCATCAAGGATGTTTCAGCAATAAATTAAAACCACACAAATGGAGCAAAGGTAAACTAAATGCTAACTGCAAAGAAAGGGGCAGGAGAAGAGCCCATTAGAGTCCATAAAGTGTTAAACACTCCCTGCAGCTCTTTGGAGACTGAAGTAATCTCTGTGAATATGAAAGAACACCAATCGGAGTGTGGTAAAAATGCACAAATCTTTAATAAATATAAACTGAGTAACAATTCACATACAGGATGTGCATAAAGTGCTTTTCACAATACAGCCATTAGTGATGGAAACTTTGCAGGAAGGACATTGGTCCAGTCCTGAGAGGTGTAGCATCACTGCTGGCAGGGTTATACAAGGACAAAAGCAACCAGAAAGCCACGGAAAACAGAGCGAAGCCAACTGGAAGTGGTATCAGCTTGAGGCTATGAGTGAAGGTGTGGCTCCGTGTTTCAGAGCTACCCAGCTACATTGTCAAGCCTGGACTGAATCTACCTAATGTGCTATTTAAAGCCGAGAGGACTATAAGGCTCAGTGTTATCCTGGAGACTCAAGAACATAAAGTGACAGCATAATGCAGATGGGGCAAACCTCACTATTTAGGCAATAAATGCTTCAGGATTATCTCTGTATAACCGAAGATCAGACATGTATAACCATCAACTTCTTCCTGTGAATCCAATCTTCCTATACAGTGATCTCCAAAAAAAGAAATAAATACAGTCCAATGTGCTCACCAGGGATTTTTTTCCCAGAGAATAGGTGCAGGAACCCACCCTCCACAGTAAACTCCCTGCCCCCATTCCCACCCCCAATCCCACCATTCCTGGGGAAAGAGAAACAATGAGTATTGGTCAAGGCTCACTTTCTCTCCCACATCCATAGCCTACCCTTTCCCCCCCTGTCCGCAGCTCAACCTCTCCCATACATTCATAGCTCACTTTCTCCCTACCTCCACATTCCACAATTTACCTTAGCATGTGCCCCCCATCCACAACTCCCCTTTTTACCCTCTGTCAAGATGTCACCTCTGCAGACCTTCCCTCCCCATCCACAGCTTACACCCCCAATTCACAATCACCTCTGACTCCCCCCCGCCACCCACAGTCTATCTCTCCCCATCCACATTTCACTTCTGCACCCCTATCTACAGCTTACCCCAATCCACAGATCTCAACCTCTGCACCATCAGCTTCCCCCACAGCTATCCTAACTCTGTACAAACCCCCCTACCCACATCTCTCACTTTGCACAATCTATAACCCTCCCTTTCCCCCAACTCTGACCTCTGCAGAACATCCCCAACTTCTCCATGGTCTCGCTGCACAACAAGCCCTCCTTCTTCCTCCTTAACCCCAGCAGTTCTCTCACCTCCAGTTGCTTCAGAGGCTCTAATTCAGAGCAGTGAAGCCAACTCTGTTTTATTAGGTAAAGTGGACTCTTTTCCCCTCCTCAGTCTATTGCATCCTCATCTGTGCAGCTCTACTTGTCAGATCTGTGTAGCACAGAGCCAAGGAGGAGTTTCAGAGCACATCACTCAGCTCGGTGCTACTTAGATCTGACAGATGGGGATAGAAGCTGCCTCTGGAATCTATTAAATGCTGATAGTTGCAGCATCTGGACCTGGTTCTGGGGCACATATCAAATAGATATGGGGCATATGCTAGCCCGCACTAGCACACAAAAAGCTGGAGGAGGAAGTGAGTGGTACAGAAAACTTCCTTTACTGGCTTCTATGTTATGTGACAGTCTGGAGAGGCGAGGGCTACCGGAGAAAGAAATCCCTAGTGCTCACATTTATAATAAATAACCACATGTGTATTTGTTTGCTTCTTTATCTACCCTTACCGTTTATATACTTGTATGTCCAATCAATTATTCTCAGATTCACTTTAGCTCTGTGTCTCCTTGTGTCTGGTACTTCAATGGTCACCTCACATGAAGATCAATATGGTTTTACCCAAAACACAAAATACCAATATAGTGCAATACTGTTTTATAAAACTTTCTCTCAGATAGAAAGCCACTCACGTTATAATATATTAACTGTGCATTCCCATTAATACCCATAGAAGGATCCACCAAGTGTATCACCTTACCAAATATACTCCAAGCTCCAAACTTTCAATAAACTGTGCTTTTAATAAACAATTCCACCTTCTTCCTGCTCTTTACCAGCATGATTTGTGCGAATGGTCCCCAAAAAATAAAGACTAATATATTGTGATATTGCTTATAAACAACACTTGAAAATAAAACTTAAACCCACTCACACTTCCATAGCACCAAAATAGTGCACATCCTTTTAAATGATCCAAATCCACCGCATGCAAGTGTTTAATAATGTCACTCCATGCATCTTACCAGATCAGTGCCTTTCAAAACACTTTCCACCAAACTCCTCCACTTTCAACAGTCCCCTCCTTAGCTCTAGCTTCTCTCCAGGGTTCTCATGCAAGAGATATCATACAGAGGCCATAGTGCAGTAAATCATAAAAAAAAACCCATATATGTATTAAAATCTCTTTACTTACAAACATTCAGTGTTCAAAACGCCTGTAGCTACTTCCAAGATGGCCACTGTGGCACTTGCAGTGTACACAATTGCGTCAATTCTGGCATTTTACGTCAGACGCCAGAATTGATGCAATTACGTACTCTGGAAGGCTACATTTACAGGTTTTGCTATTATTGCACATGTTATTGGAAGCTATTTAGCTCAGGGTTACATTTTTAGCTTTGATGGTCCCTTGGAAAGAATGTCCAGAAGAATCATAAATCTGCTGGTTTTATTTTTAGACTCATCTCCGTAGCAAATATATAGCTTGCTCCTCTGCAGGTCCAGAGTTTTCTCTGCAATAATGATTTACCCCAGACTTTTATTACATTTGTTTTGGTCAGAATTCAGCATGTTAAACAATTGAAAGTTCAGGATGGAGGTCCTTCCAATTTCTGGACTATTGGATAAGAGGTGAGGACACCTCCATGTTACTACTTCAAATCAGATCCAGAATTCTGGTAATCAGCATAAGCATATCAGTGACTTTGGATTGATTTGTTTTTAATTTGTCAACTGTGAAATAAATATCATGGCACCAGCTACTAAGAAGCCAAAGTGCAAAATTATTACCACATGTGAAGTCTGGACAAAAGGGATAATTTTCCAGGTAATTTGAAGAAAGAAAATAAGATCTGAATTCAAATGGTTCTAAAGGTAGAAGGCTTTTTACCTTAGTGCATTCTCTGCACTAGGATAAAAAATCTTCTGCATGCAGTGCCCTAGCACCCCCTTATACTTGCCTGTTCCCAATCACAAGCCAGCAATGTGTATGAAGCAGAAGCTCTCTCAGCTCTCTCCCTCCTCATTGACTCAGAGACAGCAGAGGGAGCCATTGGCTCCTGCTGTTGTCAATAACAGCCAGTGAGGAGGAAGCAGGGGGCAGAGCCAAGCCATGCACTGTGTGTCAATGGACACACAGAGCAGACTCAGCAGCAAGCATGCACAAGTACCCTCATATCAAGCATCTTGCTATGGGGCACTCGGTGGAGGGGAGAAGTTAGGAACGCTGGAAGAGAACCCAAGAAAAGGAGGATTGGGGCTTCTCTGTGCAAAACCATTGCACAATTCAGGTAAGTATATCATGTTGTGCTATTCCACAGCATTTTAGAGAGTGTATTTAGCCATTGAGTTCCTGAAAGAGCTCACAATCAAATGCACCTACTATCTTACTCATGTGGATAAGCAATTAGGTAGAAAACAGTAAATTAGCAATACAATTTTTCACTTGTGATAAAAAAGAAAAGAAAAACTGAAGCAGTCATAAGAACCCCATGCAAAAACAGTAAATGT